TACTAGATTCTAAGTCATGTACCTGTAAGTTATTCATAATTTTAATACCAGTATTAAGTTAGTCAAATACATAATACCTTTTTATAATTAGGCTGCATAAAAAACTAGTGAGAGGAAAATAATCTTCTGAAAAGAGCAGCTAAATAAAAGGAAAAATAAAAATATTGATATTGAAAATAATAAAAAATATTTTATATACTTTTCCATATTTTTGTGTTGAACTTGTATGTTATGCAGTGTTACAAAAGAAGCAAACTAATCATATTCACTGCATTAGTATCACCTTTTTTTCACGAGAAAAGAACTAAGAAGCATTAAAATTTTGAGGATTCTAAACTGGTTGGAATTGAAGCAAAATTGATCCAGAAAGGCAGATTCTTAAATAATTGCCAGGAATTGTTGGTCTTGTCAATGAAATAGTCATTACCTCTAGGACAACCTAAAGGTTATTGTACTATGGCAAAATATCTTCTCTTTAATTCATCTGTAATTTTTTTTGTACAAATGCAAAACGTTTTGTCACCTTTTCTTGAACCTAATATAAGTATTACAGTGTTGCTGCTGTTCCTGATTTTTTTTACATGGGCAAACATGGCTAATTACATTTTTATGTGATTTTTTTACTCCCAACATCCTCATAAAATGTGTATCTGAATATTGAATTGGAAATGTTATAGTTACCCTGGTGGACTTATTTTAATAAAGGCTAAAATCTTACTTGGGATATTTTAGCTATATTAGTTCTTTTAAAGCCCTCTTGGGATAAATTGTTGCAGGTTTAAACCATCCTTTTAAGATGTGTTTTATTGTACACTTTTATGGAAATATTGCTACAAGACTACATGTAAATACCTGCAATAAAGAAGTGCTCTAAACTTTCAGAGATGCTTCATTATAAGTTTATAAACTCCTTATTGTTTCTGGTTTTTAGAGATAGAAGGCTTGCCTGGTCATGTCTTTGCAATTGATCCAAACACAGTACATCAAATCCTAAATCATGATACTCTTTACAGGTGCAGGAAATGCAGGTACGTGGTTCCAGAGAAGCATTTATTGAATAGTATCCTATGAGACCGGTTTATAGCAATTGTCCGAGCACTAACACTTTTGCGACCGAGGGGGGTAACTCTAAATGCAGCTAAATTGCATGGGGATTTAAACAGACTAAACATTGAATTAATCATAGTCTTGGCAAAAGGACTTTTTGAGAAAGCTTTACAGCTGATGTGGTTGCATGCAAAAATTTGGGTCAGAGTATGTTTCAGTGAATCCCTAGGTGAATAGCAGCTGACCCAACTCTTATATGATATAAACGTACTTCTGCAAATAGATCTCCCTATAGATATGCAAGTCTGGGGACTGTGAAAGCCATTATTTATGTTCCTCTCCCCACCCCCAATTTTAGCTTTCTTTTTTATGGGTATTTCCTGGTTGATTTAAAGATACGTTTCAGACTGTTGAGTGGTTGAAATAACCAATCTCTTTTCTGCTTCAGTTTTTTTCATTGACTGCTGGTGTCTGACTTCTAGAATATGTTGATACTTAGTAGAATCCATTTTTTCTCGTGTGTACAATATTTTACCACTAGCTATGATGCAACCCCAAAGCATAGTAGAGCCACTCCGATACAGTTTGCAAGGTGTTCTTTTATTCCAAAGGAATGTTGTGTAGCCAAATAGTTCAGTGTTTGTTTCCTTAGTCCAAATCACTGTTTCTAAATGTTATTAGATTTTCTTTTGCTGACTTTTGATGGTGAATTGTCTGATCAGGTTTGACCAATCGCTCTCTTTCAACCCAACCCAACTCCAGGGTTGTTGGGGGGAAAAGAAGGAGGAAGGAATATTAGGTACATCTGCCCCCTTGAGCTATTTATAAAAATAATAAAGGTGAGATACAAATAAATGAATAAATAAACCCATGGTGTACTATGGACAGCTACTCCAAAAGAGATGGTAGTTTACAGCAGGTCACTTGATCCATTGGTTCTATTTTGTAGATCTGACCAGTTTGGGGGCAATTTTAGCAGAGAATTTTGCAGAAAGTTATGTTTAAAGTTGTACCATGTGGAGTTGTGCCAGCTTTTGTTCACTTACAGATTTATTGAAAAAAATGTCATTTTTGCTTCCAACTGAATGTTCTTATCATACACGGTAAGTATTGTATACGGTTAGACCCAATAGCTACCAAAAGGATAGTTTACCTTGCAAAAAACCCATTGTTAAATGGACGTTGGTTGAAATGTTGAATACTGGGTTGGTTAGAATAATAATGATCTGGTTATAAAAGACACAGGTCTTCTCTAATTTGGTCCTGCTTGTTCTCTGTATTATATCAGTGCTGAATGTCATAGTAATTGATGGAAAAGATGTGGTAGGGGGTGCACCTAGTGGGTGGTTGAAGTTCATTGCCAGAAATACATATGGGAATTCCATGCCATTTGAAAATGGTGCCATTATGCTTAAAAGAAAAAAATGGAGAAATTATTTGTTTTGAAATGTAGAACTCTTACAATGAAACTTTTCTTAGTCCTTTTTGATTCTAGATCAGGATTGTTATGTCTACAGATAGTCCTTGATGTATGACCACAATTGAACCCAGGTCGCTAAGTGAGAAATTCATTAAGTGAGTTTTGCCCCAGTTTACGACTTTCACTGCAGTTGTCAAATTAGTAACAACACTGTTGTTAAGTGAATCTGGCCTCCCCATTGACTTTGCTTTCAGAAGGTCACAAAAGCTGATTCACATGACCTTGGGACACTGCAGCAGTCATAAATACAAACCAGTTGTCAAGCATTCGAATGTAAGTCACGTGACCACGGGGATGCTGCAATGGTCATAAAGGTGAAAATCAGTCGTAAGTCGCTTTTTCCAGTTCTGTTGTAACTTCGAACAGTCACTAAACAAACTGTTGTAAGTTGAGGATTACGTTTGTATGTTTCTTTTCTACCTCATTTGTTCTAAAAAGTAAAGAAAATATTGCAGATGCAATGCTGCTTCAGTACCTTTTCAAATGACACTGTGCTCTTTCCTTTCTGATAAACAGGCGTTTGCTGTTCCGAAGTTCAAGCATTTTGCCCCATGATGAAGGCAAAGGACCTGCGGCATTTGCTCACAAAAAAGTTTCAGAACCTGGACCTTTAAGCCATGCAGGTCAAACAAACTGTACTTCTTACTTTATTGAGCCAGTGCAGTGGATGGAGGCAGCACTGTTAGGAGTCTTGGAAGGACAGGTGAGGCAAAAAATCTGATATTGCTGCTTTTTTCTAAAAGCTGAACAAAAGGCTGGGACCTATTTACATGTTGATATATACATTAGATAATTTGAAAATGGGAAAAATATCTGTAGCTTGCATACTAGATGGAGGGGAGTATGCTCCTCTACAACCTGTCATCCAGGTAAGTCTGCCAAAGGTTGACTTATGTTAGGAAAAGGAATTACCTATCCTTCCCTAATGTGTCCATTCTCTCTGTTTAGCTTTATAATCAGTTTGGCAGCAGATGTTATGGGCCATATTGAAGTGAAACTTCCCTAACTCAAGTCATGATTTACAATAGAATTGAAGCTGCTCACACATGCATTGCTGTGGCCCCAAAGTTCATTCAATCTGATATAGTAGAGCTTGGATACCATGTAGAGCAGGGGTTCCAAAACTTGGCAACTTTAAGACTTGTGGACTTCCAACTCCCAGAATTCTCCAGCCAGCATAGCTATTCTGGGAATTGTAGTCCACAAGTCTTCAAGTTGCCAAATTTGGTGACCTCTGATGTAGAGTAGCTGATAAATGAGGACTTATTCTATTCAAAGAGAATTATCTACTCACAAACTGTTTTGAGACATTGTGGTATTATGAAAGGTTGTAAAAACAACCTTTTTTTTTGCTACATTGTAAGCAGATTTCCTCAAGGTAAAATTATTTGCAATTCATTTTATGGCAGTAATTTACAGCATGACATTAATGGATGGAAAGATTTTGCTTTCTATTCTTGCTGTCCTTTGTTTAACTCTAAAATGTGAATCCTTCAGAAATATAATTGATATATGGTGCCAGAAATTAGTAGCTATATTATCAGCAATGTCACCAATAATGTCTGTTTCCATGGATGCTAATTAAGGAATGGAAGCTATGAAACAAATTTTACCGGATGCAGAAATTGTATAACCAGAAATACTGGGTAACAGAAAAGGATAGATTATAAGATAGGAAAGGTAGTTAAAGCAGAAACATGAGACAATAGAAATATTCTGACAATGACTTTCTACTTAAGCACAAAAGAAGTAGGTTAAAACTTTGAAAATCAAAGTGAAATTACAGATAATAAGCCAAGAGAATGATCCAGATAATGACTTTTTACTATATTTACAAAAGAGGTTTGCTAAAATCTTGGAAGAAAGCTTTGGAATGGAAAAAAGAAAAATTGAAGAGAGACCAAATCCTACAACAATTTCTGAATGGGTTAAAGTTCAAGATTGTTAGAAGTAAGAGGAATGAATGTAAAGTTTGTTTGATGAAGGTTAAAATAAAGCATGTTTCTATAAAATTCTGGTAACCCTTTATCGACCTTTTGTTGACATCAGGATTGAAAAGCTGGTGACTTAATAGATTTGTATACAGATGAGTTATCAGAAGAGATATTTGTTTGTAACCTTATGGGAGAATGAAGATATATAAAATTTATTTATACTTATTGTGATGACTTATATGTTTTCTTTTTTCATAGCAAAATTCTCCCTATTTTGCTTTCTTTGAGTTTAGTTTGCATTTGTTTTTACTATTGTAATAGTAAAATAGTATTGTAATAAAAACTTTCAATAACAATTATTTAAAAAGATAATTGATACAAAATTCAGTCAGTGCTATCATCTAGCTGGGGGAGGGTGGAGAGACCTTTTTCATAATAGAATTTCATAGTTCCCGTACTTTAAGATCAACTGGAAAGAAAACTACTCTTGGTTTTGAAAAGTAACACCTTGATTGTTTTAGAACAACCTGTTAAAAGAATAAATACCTAGACTATTAATATTAAATGAAACAATATCAGAACAAAGGAGTTTCAGCAATAGGATCATAGAGTTGCATCTGTTTTAAAAACTACAACCAAAAGTATTACTGAACAAAGTTCCACTGACAATTACATTATAGCTGACAGAGTATTGTAAGCATGTGGAATATACATACATACATACATGTATGTATGTATGTATGTATGTATGTATGTATGTATACACACACACACACACACACACACACACACACTGCTCAAAAAAATAAAGGGAACACAAAAATAAGACATCCTAGATCTGAATGAATGAAATATTCTTATTAAATACTTTGTTCATTACACAGTTGAATGTGCTGACAACAAAATCACACAAAAATTATCAATGGAAATCAAATTTAGCAACCCATGGAGGTCTGGATTTGGAGTTACACTCAAAATTAAAGTGGAAAAAAACACTACAGGCTGATCCAACTTTGATGTAATGTCCTTAAAACAAGTCAAAATGAGGCTCAGTAGTGTGTGTGGCCTCCACGTGCCTACAACGCCTGGGCATGCTCCTGATGAGGTGGTGGATGGTCTCCTGAGGGATCTCCTCCCACACCTGGAGTAAAGCATCCCCCAACTCCTGGACAGTCTGTGGTGCAATGTGGCGTTGGTGGATGGAGCGAGACATGATGTCCCAGATGTGCTCAATTGGATTCATGTCTGGGGAACGGGCAGGCCAGTCCATAGCATCAATGCCTTCGTCTTACAGGAACTGTTGACACACTCCAGCCACATGAGGTCTAGCATTGTCGTGCATTAGGAGGAACCCAGGGCCAACCGCACCAGCATATGGTCTCACAAGGGGTCTGAGGATCTCATCTCAGTACTTAATGGTAGTCAGGCTACCTCTGGCGAGCACATGGAGGGCTGTGCGGCCCCCTAAAGAAATGCCATCCCACACCATTACTAACCCACTGCCAAACCGGTCATGCTGGAGGATGTTGCAGGCAGCAGAACGTTCTCCATGGCGTCTCCAGACCCTGTCACGTCTGTCACATGTGCTCAGTATGAACCTGCTTTCATCTGTGAAGAGTACAGGGCGCCAGTGGTGAATTTGCCAATCTTGGTGTTCTCTGGCAAATGCCAAACATCCTGCATGGTGTTGGGCTGTAAGCACAACCCCCACCTGTGGACGTCGGGCCCTCATACCACCTTCATGGACTCTGCTTCTGACCGTTTGAGCAGCCACATGCACATTTATGGCCCACTGGAGATCATTTTGCAGGGCTCTGGCAGTGCTCCTCCTGTCCCTCCTTGAACAAAGGCGGAGGTAGCGGTCCTGATGCTGGGTTGTTGCCCTCCTACAGCCTCCTCCATGTCTCCTAGTAGCGCCTCCTGCTCTGGACACTATGCTGACAGACACAGCAAACTTTGCCACAGCTCGCATTGAATATGTGCCATCCTGGATGAGCTGCACTACCTGAGTCAGTGTGGGTTGAAGACTCCGTCTCATGCTACCACTAGAGTGAAAGCACCACCAGCATTCAAAAGTGACCAAACCATCAGCTAGAAAGCATAGGAACCAAGAAGTGGTCTGTGGTCACCACCTGCAGAACTACTCCTTTATTGGGGATGTCTTGCTAACTGCCTATGCTTTCCACCTGTTGTCTTTTCATTTTCACAACAGCATGTGAAATTGATTGTCAATCAGTGTTGCTACCTAAGTGGACAGTTTGATTTCACAGAAGTGTAATTGACTTGGAGTTACATTGTATTGTTTAACTGTTCCCTTATTTTTTGAGCAGTATGTATGTATGTATGTATGTATGTATGTGTACATATATATGTGTGTGTGTAACTTATAGACAAGACACACATAAAGACTGAACTGTGCACCCTGACTAAAGTACTGACAGCCAATAGCTTCCACAAAAGCAAAATCACAGGCCTGATCCACAAAAACACACTGAGACATAATGGAGACGTAGAAGATGAACAGACCTATGGAACAGCTGTCCTGCCCTACATAAGAGGTACTATAGACAAAATCAGTAAGATACTACACAGGCATCACATCAAGACTGCCTTCAAAACAGACAGAAATATAGCAGCCATCCTAAGATACCCCAAAGGTAAAATTGACCTGGAAAACCAAGGCATATATGAAGTCCCCTGCACATCATGCCCTGCCACATACATTGGACAGACCAACAGAAGAATAAGTACCCACCTGGATGAACACAAAAATGCAGTAAAAAAGCTGGAACACACTTCCTCACTAGTCCAACACATGAAAGCCACAGGTCATAGCAGCGACTTCAATGGCACCAAAACCCTAGCCACTATAGAAAACCCCAGCTACAGAATTATCAGAGAAGCCATAGAGATTGAAAAAAGACCTAAAAGCATGAATAGAAGAGATGACTCCGCCAGACTGTCAATTATATGGAAGCCTGCGCTCACAAACAAAAAAATCTCCACATCACAAGCCAGGCAAACACCTGGGCACAAACAGACCCCACCTGATACCTCCAGCTCAAACACAGCCCAACCAGGCACCCAGATGAAACCTAGCTTCCTAATAAATGATAGCCGTCCGTTTACTCGAAGCCAAGCCGCACTAAAAGCCTCCAATACAGGAAACACAATGTTGCCAGCCAATCAAGACAAAAAAAGCTACAAAACAGACAGAAGACATTAGAAACACCAATCAAGCAGAACACAGCAAACTCCAAGACCAATAAACACAGACCAAGACTCCCAACCAATCAGGATGAAGAAAAAACCATTCTGGCACAGCACTAGGCTAGCACTAAATTTAAAACAGAAACGGATGTGAAAGTCTGACTCACAGACGAACACAATACAGAAGCCTGATGATGGCAGATGAGATTCTGCCGAAACGTTGCTACAACTTTAAAAGCACAACTATAATGACGTGGGAAAATACCCAAACAAAGCTGAATACCATATCTATATCTATATCTATACCTATATCTATATATTTGTTTTCTTAAGTTTTCGCGGGTACTTACATGTATGGTATTCAGCTGCTGCTTCCTTTTAACTGCTAGTGGGGGTGTGACTTGATTGGGTGGGGGCTTGGCTGTGTTCTGATTGGGTGGAGGTGTGTTCTCATTGGTTGGGGGTTTGACTGTGTTCTGATTGGTTGGGGCGTTGGCCGTGTTCTGATTGGCTGGAGGTGTGTTCTGTTCAGGTGGGGACTGACCAGCCTGACCAAAACCAACCCTGATGATGCTAATAGAATCAGACTCGAAATCACCAACATCCTCTGCACTAGCAAACCACCCAAAGCAACTTATCCAAAGAAGAACAAACTGCACTACGTAACCTGAAAGAAGACACCAGCATAATAATCCTACCAGCAGACAAGGGCAACACGACAGTGGTTATGAACAATCTGACTACCAAACCAAGTTAACCAACCTACTCCAAGACCCCACATACAAACCCCTAAAGACAGACCCCACCACCTACCTAGAAAAAGCCACCAGATCCAAAATAAAAGCCTCCCCCATCAATGAAGAAATCCAGCAAAGAATCATACCCAGAGAGAAATCATCCAGATGCCCTAAGCTTTATGGTCTTCCCCAAGATACACAAAGAAGGAACCCCACTTAGACCAATAGTCAGCTCCATAGGCTCACCTCTACAAAACCTAGCCAAATTTCTCACCAAACAACTACAGCCCTATGCAGAATCCATCAATTCACACGTAAGAAACTCATTCCAGTTCATCGAGATCATAAAGAAACAAAACTTACAACCCAGCGACCTACTAGTGAGCTTCGATGTCATATCCCTCTTCACCCAAGTGCCAATAAAAGAAGCCTTGACAGCCATCCAAAACAAATACAACCCCCCCAAGCACATCCTAGATCTGACCAACCACTGCCTGTCCAATACATACTTCACCTACAATGGACAAAAATACAAACAAATAGAAGGAGCACCCATGGGGTCACCCCTCTCACCTGTCATCGCAAACCTCTACATGGAACACTTTGAAACACAAGCTCTAGAAAAATATGATCACAAACCCAAACTCTGGCTCAGATACGTAGATGACACCTTCATAATCTGGCCACACGGGAAAGAAAAACTGAACAACTTCCTCACACACCTCAACAGCCTACACCCCAAAATACAATTCACAATGGAAACAGAAGCTAACAATCAACTTCCCTTCCTAGATGTCTTGGTATACAAAAAATCCAATGGCTCCCTAGGACACACCATCTACCAGAAGAAAACACATACAAACCGCTATCTACACGCACTCTCACACCACCACCCAGCACAGATCAATTCCGTAGCCGAGACACTCATCTCCAGAACAAAATGCTTAGCCGACGAACAACACCTAAAAACTGAACTACACACTCTCACTAACGTACTAACAGCCAATGGATTCCAAAGAAAGAAGATTACCCACCTAATCCAAAAAGAAACCCCAACCAAAATCCAAGACAGAGAACAAGAGAACGGCAAAGCCCTCCTCCCATATATAAAAGGCACTACAGACAAAATTAGCAAGATCCTCCAAAAACACAATATTAAAAGAGCATTCTGCACAAACAGAAAAATATCCACCATCCTAAGAAACCCTAAAGACAAAATCGAGTTAGAAAACCAAGGAGTATACGAAATCCCTTGCACCGCCTGCCCCACCACATACATCGGACAAACTAACAGTAGAATAAGTGCACGCATTGAAGAACATAAGAACTCAATCAAAAAAGAAGAACCGACCTCTTCCCTGGTCCAACACCTCAGAGCCACAGGACATGAGATTGACTTTAAAAATACCAGAACTATTGCCAAAACCGAACACTTCAACAACAGAATAATCAGAGAAGCCATAGAGATAGAAAAACGCCCACACAGCATGAATAAACGAGATGACACCTCCCGCCTACCAGCCATTTGGAAACCCGCCCTCACGAACAGACGAGTACCTAACATGAAGAATGACACCAGACCCACACCCACGAGGGACACACAAGATGCTACCACCACACTTCCACGTAGAAAGCAGACTCACGCCCACACAGAAGATGAGACACGACCACGGACCAGAAGCCGCACTGCAGCTGCATCACTACCCGCTTCAAACCCCTCCGAGCCATACATGAAGTGAACTGACACCCACCATGAAGATGCGGCACGACCACGAACGCGAAGCCAAACAGCAGGATCACAGCTCACCAGCTCAAATCCCCCAGTAACTAAGACTAACCTGAGCACAACCAAGCCCCCACCTGAACAGAACACACCTCCAGCCAATCAGAACACGCCCAACCCCCCAACCAATCAGAACACAGCCAAACCCCCAACCAATGAGAACACACCTCCACCCAATCAGAACACAGCCAAGCCCCCACCCAATCAAGTCACACCCCCACTAACAGTTAAAAGGAAGAAGCAGCTGCAAGCTCACATTACTCTGAGAAGCACAGAGCCGAAGACACAAGCCTGAAGATGATGAATGAGACTTCATCGAAACATTGCCTAGATACTTCCAATCGGGAGAAAACCCGAATAACCAAAGATCCATATGTATGTATGTATGTATGTATGTATGTATGTATGTATGTATGTATATACATATATACTGCTAACTCCCTTTATTATATTAGGATGTTGGGGGCGGGGTGTACCTACATACATACGTACATACATACATACATACATACATGTCAGCTTGATGTTTGAAAGCATATGTTTTGAGCAAATAAAGTTTAGATGGTTGTCTGGATTGTATTTAATTTTGGATTATCCTATGGCACCCTTTCCTTCAGTATTTAAACATCAGATCAAAAACATATTCCTTTTTTTCAAGGAAACAAACTATGTGGCTTTTGGAAGAAATGAAAAGTTGAAAAGTCACATGTCACACATGGAAAGAAGTGCAGTATTGGTAGAAGATATGAAGCCCATATAGATTGGGTAGTGAATGAGAAACTGAGAGATAAAAAAATTGAACAAAAGGGAATTCTGAGACCCTGAGCATCAGAGCAGATTTCAAGAGAATGACAGATGGAGGACACATTTTCTGAAGTTTTTAAGAGGCCAGGAAGAAGTGGGTGGTATCAGGGAACAAGATGAATGCTTTCAAGGGGGTTAGGATAGGATGTTTTAAAACCAGGGACCAAAGCAAATTGTGGGAAGAAGCATACTGGATTGTTTTTTTTTTTAAAAAAATGGACTTCTAAGGGTTACACATTAATGTGTGTACTTACAAGAAGAGACACCTAGGAGTACAGGGTTTGTGAAATTGGGCAGTAAAAAAAAGGCCAAGCTTCAGTTGATTTGACTTAACTCACAAAAAGTTTCAAAGTTAAAGAGATCCACATGTTCCATGCTTGTTTTTTTTTAAGGTGAAAGGCCAGACAGAATATCAATTGTCCCTTCTCTCTGATTCTCTTATAGCTCCTGTGCCCAAAATGTACATCAAAGTTGGGTTCTTTTCACTGGCACGGTGAGCAGTGTTCCTGTGGTCATTGGGTGACTCCAGCCTTCCAGGTTCACAAGAATCGTGTTGATGAAGTAAAAAGATTGCCCATTGGGGAGTCAAAGAATGTGAGAAAGTGAACTTGGTTTGTATTAGGACAATTGCATATACCTGACATAAAGAGACACAATTTAATCAATGCTTTAAGAATCAGTGGCCTTGCATAGTATTTTTCTTTTGACTTTACCATAATAGTAGGCCAAATATACAGCAGAGCTAATTGCATATCACAAGGGAACATTTCTTGAAATAGTTTTAATTTCTTAAACTGAACACTAAAATTTGTGGTCACACCAGGGTATTTTGCACAACATGACTGCTACCAACCAAGATTGCTATAGTTGCAAATATGTCTAGAGGCTCTTCCTTCTGAACAACTCTGCATTGTGTACGTGAACTGCATTTTTCCAATAAAAATAATTCCTGAAAGTTTTGTGTGTGACTTTATGACCAGAGAGGGAACAGGCAGGATGTTAAATTATAGAGATGCTCAATTATCAAAAATATAATTGAGGTTTGTTAGAAGATCTCATATGAGATGTGCTTCTGTAAAGGAGTTTAGAAGGGCTGGGCTGCTCACCTCAGCTTCTGGGAGTTTTGCCACATGTATAACCAGCTGTTCAAATACAAATCTTGGCAAGTAGCCTATTGTATGAATGTTTAATCCATTTCCAGCAAGATCATTCGGCATGGTTCTCTTGAGGAATTTTGGAATTACTACAATTAAAAAATTCAAACCATATTTGTATATTCTTTTTAATTTTGTATAATCTGATTTTTTAAAAATAAATGCTAACATTCTTGCGAAGTAGAATTTGGCAGTCAGAACTATATTGAACTGCATACAATAGAGTTAAAATGGTCAGGGGCAGTTTATGGTAGAAAGATAGCTGAGAGTAAAGCTAAAAATCAGAAATCTGAACATAAACCCCAAGGACAAAAAAAGGAGAGAAACTTATAGAAATGTCATAAAACAAAATCCAAAAACTCCCTTTCAATTAAAAAGACCTGGGGGGGGAGGGGGAAACATCTGGGGCAGTTTTTGGGGAAAATGTGAACACTACATTTTGAAAGAAGAGTGCCGGGACAACACTGAAAGGGCCTGGTCATTGCTATCCGCCTACTACTTCATAGGTGTTGAGTATGATTGTAGTCAAACAAGGGCTTTCCAGCCTATGGATACTCATAGAAGGACTATTTATCTACAGACAGGCTGATTAATCATTGTCTCTTATTTACTGTTACTTATAAAAGTCAGAAGATGTGTTGGTCATACACTGAAACAACTTCCTGGCTCCTGCAAAGTTTAAAAAAGTCTAAGGAATATATGTTAAATTCATAACTTATAATGATAGTACTATCTTGGCCAATAAATATGTTTGAAACTTGCTGGACGTTCCATATTCTCAATCAAACACCAAGCAACAATTTACTCGCGTGTTAAGATTTACATTTGTGTGTTGCAATCCTTTTCTGGCTTTTAGTAATTAGTTTATTGTTTATGGTATTAAAATGTAACTGTACTGTATCTTATGTTTATTTATATGCATAACCATACAACTGGTGTATGGGTTTGCAGATCTTAGTTTTATGAATTCATTTTTATGGTTTCTGATTGCCTTTGTATTCCCTTGCATTGTTTTCACAGTTAAGATTTTTTAAATCAACTTATACCATCATAACTTCAGAGTTGTTGACAATTATTACAGTTCTATATTTTAAATTCTAATTAGTCATTCATAAAGTTTAAATAGCTTTGTGGACCTTAATATTGAAGTTTTATTTTTATTATTTGATATAGAGAGACATCTGGATATAATTCATACTATTATACCTGTTGCCACTAAAGAAGTTTTTGGCCATAAGTATTTTATTTAGTTTATTCTAGTAAAGCTCTATCAAATTATATTAGCCTACCGGTAGTATTTCATCATGTTAACTGGGCATATATTTAAATGTAGTGCTGCTAATTTCCACAGCACAAAACACAATAAAAATAGATTTTCCCATAGTTTCTATTCTATCTGGAATTTTCATCTTGTAAATCTCTAGGCCAGATTGCTAATTGCTCTGTATTTTCTCCCATTTCCCTCCACAGTTTTTTTTTTTTGGGGGGGGGGATGCTCATTTATTCTTCTGATAAAGTATCATTACAATTCAAAAGATGAAAACTATTTTTAAAAATATTGCTCTGGTGCCACATTAACATATGCATATATTGGAGGCAATGCTTTTTCACTTTCTTCATTTCATACCTGACCACAGATTTTCAGTTACCTTCTATTAAAGGCTCCTGCCATTGCTGCACCAAAATTTATTCAAAAAAAGAAAACAAAAACGCTTTACTCCTTCTTTTGAAGATGACGGCCTTAAATGATTTTATAGAGTCTATTTACTGGGTATGTGGAAAATATTTCAACCTCTGAACAGTCTGATTCATAATGATAGTTTGCCTTCAAGCACATGCAAGAGTCATGCAAAGGCTCTGAATTGAGATTGGAACAACAAAAATTTATTCTGACTAGCATAAAAATGACCATTTTGAATGGTATTCTAGCTGTTCAAAGCAAACTTTTCAAACAAGCCAGTACAGAAGCAGGTCCAATCAAGGCCAATTTAATTTGTGTGGAGCAAAGTGACAGCAAAGTATTAAGAAGGAAGCAGCAGTTAAACACACCACTGTACAGAAGAACATTGCTTGCAACTACAGAATTCCCTAGTAAGGCCTATGGAAAGAGTAGGTTGTTGTTTATGGGTTGTGCTGTGCTTTAATATGCAGAGAGGCATATGTGAATGTAGCACTGTGCTTCCCACACAACTTACAGCAAATGCTATAGAGATTTATGTAAATGCAAAGAAAGTATTGGCTTGTTGAGGCCTGGCATGCATATGCACTTGGTGTATGTTGTGTTGAGCCAATGATGGGTTCAGAGTGCTTTTAGAATTACCCAGACTTGAAAACGCATATTGTTACATATTTGATGGGGAGCTTTGATCTTGGGTTCTTCAGTTGATTCAAACCTTTGCTGATTCAAAGTGTCTGAGATTGCTTCTCCTGTTGGGAGCTTTCAAGAGGTGTATGGCTGATTCTTAAGGTCAGTTTTCTTTATCCCCTTCCTTCATACTCTGTTTATGTGTACCTTATAATGACTTAAATGCAGTTCTTGGCTACAGTCAAGTATTTCTTTTTAATTGTAAACAACAAAAAGAACCCATGGTGAAGAATATCATTTGTATTGACTTGTCATGCTTCCTTTGTTCTTCTCAAGAATGCAATGCACTTGCTGCTGTTATATGGCTAAGAGTCTGTTCATTGCTAAGTAGATACTAGTACAAAAATAGTATCTGAGAGTTCTTTCTTGTTTCCCTCTCTCTCTCTGTTGCTGAAGTTCCTTTGGGTTTAGCTGAACATTGACTCTCTGCTAAGAATGCCAAGGTGTGTTGGGATTCCAATTCTGACTGTTTCAGATCTACCTTATGTGGGATTTAAAAAACATTAACATATTTCAAAAATGATCTTTGGCTAATTTTTGTCAAGTTTGTTCACTGGTAATATCCTTCACTGCCACCCATTTACTCTTGTGATATTAGAATGAAAAATAAGGGAGAATGGGACTCATACCAAATTACACTATTTTCTTAGCCTGGGACACACAAATCATTTTGAGCTTCATGTTTCAACTAGCCAATTTTAAATACAATGTATTTTTCACGTTATGCAAAATTCTGTTGCTTCTTGTGGTAATTAATGAAAGGACAAGATCTTGGATCCCTAAAACCTTGATTGAAGAGAGCATACAGGGGAGGTGGTTGCCATTAAATCTAAAGGTCTATTATATTCAAAATGGTGTCATTTAAGGGCAATTATTTCATATGTGTAATTATGCAATTGGCATAATGGTGTCTTTTGCAGCAAAACCATGTTTCAATTGACCAAAGATTTAATGGACATTTCTTAAGCCATTAAATGGAGGTGAAATCTAAACAAAACAAAAAGGCCCATTGAATCCAAAGTCCATTAAACTTGAACTTGAGTGAACACTGGATTTCAATACTGTAAGTCCTTGGTATAGGAGAGTTGTAATCTTGCAAAAACAAACCACAGCACATTTTGATCTGTAATTGATTTCATTCTAAAATTCCTCAGATTTTCAGTCATGGCTATGCTGGTTAGGAATTGCCAGGTATTCAAGTCTTGCCCTCTGAGATGACCCTGATTGGAAAATGCTGTTCCAGAAATGAAGCTGGACATTCAACCCCTCAACTATTTCACTTCTAATGTATAGGTTCTGGTAGCCTGCCACAGATCTCATGGGTCTACTATATTTTCTGGGATAGGAAAGTAAGCAATTGTTTGCATTTTCTGTTATTTCATTCAGTTCCAAGGTGCAAAATCAACTGGATCGGCAAGAAATAATTGCCCTAGTTTTTCAGGCAGACCTGACTCATGCATAATGTAGTTTGTTTCCTGGCTCATTGTAGTTTGTCAGTTCATGTTAGCAGTGCAGGAACCTTCATACCTTTTTTGGAATAGAGTTAACCGTCTGGTGATTGAAAAACCAATTGTTCATGAAGTTGTACTACTCAGATAAATGGTTTAATTTTCTTTTTCCCAAATAGAAACAACTAGCCTCTACAACATAATATAAAATACTGTTTCAGTAACTAAAAAATATTGTAAGCCTTTTCTGGGCAGGTTTCAAAACATACTAGAATTTCTGTAAACCGTTTTGGATAAGGATTATATAGTTCAAAGAATGTAGTAAGTGTAATGTCACAGGTGAAATGGGCAGTGTAGAAATTTACCAAATAAAAATAAAATGTGTCTGGCTTGAGATTTGCTCTGGCATACTGTCAGAACCCATAAATGAAAACTACCACTTTAAGAGCTAGGCATCCGAGTAAGAAAAACTGAATTTGTTCAAGTTTTTGGCAACTTCATCTGAGTTCACAAAAGATTTGCATTTTTGTTACTGGGCTGACATTGGTAGAATTGTTAATATAACTGGATGTTAACAGTAGATATCATATGCTCTTTACTTTATCATCAGTGTTTGGATTTTATAAAAGTCCAAATTTATGTCATTAAGAATTGTGAACTTTGGGGAGGTATGGGGCTAGTTAAAAGAATTATTTCACCCAGAAGGAGAAATTTGTAGGTGATTTGCAATAAAGGGACTGTCGATATGGGACTGTCAACATTTTGTTACTATTTTTTTCTCTACAAATGAGCAAAAAATAATAATTCAAACATTGGCAAGGCAGGGAAGAATTTTATTTATAATATACTTTTCCAAGCCTTTTCCCCCTCCTTTTGAATGATTACATTTTTTTGATAATAGTTTAATTTTGTATTTTTAGTTAGTAGCATAATAAAGATGTCAGCTTTCTGTTCAAAATGGTGCTGGGATACAAAGTGATGCCACCAGAGGGGGCAAGATCTCAGAACTCTGGATTCTCTTACACTCAGGCATTTTCTGTCATGGTAACCGTTGTCTAGCGTCCAAGACTGAGTGCCTAAAATGAATTCCCTCCTCTGTCCAACCTAGATTTCCTTGTCTTCCTTCCTAAGCCAATCTTGTCAAACGAAGAGTTCAACATGTAATAAAGATAGAAGTATAAATTGTACGGCATCTCAGTAAACAGGGCATAAAGAGTTTGAATATTTATTTCTTTTGACTTAAGGCTTCAAAAAGTGAAAACTAACAGCTGGCTTCCTTAGGATTTCTCACTAATTACCCATTGCCTAGAACCCATAGACATTTATAGCTGCTATTAATCTTTCTCCTCCTTTTCAATCTTAAAAATAGTAGTCGACCTGGAACTGCAATGAGGGACTGGAAAACTCATTTTTGAGTATTGTGGTTGTTTAGCAAGACATCACACGAACACAACTAGCAACTTTCTCTGCTGGCTTCCCCTTTAATTTTACCTGC